GAATGTTCTTACGCCTGGCAACCTCTGCCCACTGTGAGGCCTCCCATCCACGCAGCCCGCCAGCTTCCTGGGCCAGTCAGACCTTGGGAGAGGGCTGTGGTGGACAAGTGAGTTTGACTCATGGGAAGAATACCACCACCAAGAATATGAACAGATGCCGGAGGAACCTGGACAGTGGAAGCCGGAGAGCATGGTGACTGAGCAGGAACTGGCAGGGGAAGAGAGGGCCACAGAGGAAGCAAGCAGAACCCGCGGGTGGCTCAGCCATCACAGTAGTTAGGTACCCAGGTGGAGAGCAGAGGCATCCAGCAGCAAAGCCACTTGAAGACAACCCAGCCACCCAGCCTCCTTCTGACTCCCAATTGGGCCTGTGTTCTTGGAGCTGGTCAGACCCTGGGGCTCTCCTTGCCCATGTTGCTCACCTTGAGGGGACTCGCCACCTCCTACCTGGGTAACCTGAGAACCTCCCTGTTCCCCTGTCCGAGGAACAAGTGCTGACTTAATACATCTCTCTGGGCTGACCCAACACAGCCGCAGTGCTTGGGGCTGAGCCAGATGACCTTCAAGGCCCTTTTTGGCTGTGATTTTTATTTTGATGGGAGATCTTAGGGGGAAAGTGAGAGGAGCCCATTATTCTAATAGGAAAGGAAGAGGCCAGCACCATCTCGGGATGCCAGGGAGGCTCTGGGGGGCAGTCACCAAGCCCCCCTCCCTCTTCCTGACCTTGGCAGAAACTATGGTCTGCCCTGGGCTCAGTTCTTTCTGACCTTTCCTGTGCCTGTCTCTGCCTAACTAAACAGCATTTTCTAAAAACGTGGATTTTTTTCCCCACTCTTAGTAGATATATATAAGAAAAATATATATAAATGAGAAAAGAAATCAGATGAGGAAAATATAATTATTCCTATTGCCTAAAGATGGCAATTGTCAACAAATTCAACTATTTTTCTTTACACTCCTTCCACCTAATATTACATCATGAGCATTTGCAAGTCATTAAATGTTTTATGGAAATTAGATTTTCATAACTACCCGGTATGATACCATACAATAATTCCAAAATGTAATTCACTGTTTTTAAAGTTCCCCTCACTTTTCAATGTTTTGAAACCACTTTGAAGAAGGTACATGAATATTCACGTGATCTGAGTTATTTTGGATGGCTACTAAGAACGGATGTCTTGGTCAGCTTGGGCTGCTGAAGCAACACCGTGGACCAGGCCTTAGAAGCAACAGTTGTTTGTTTCTCGTGGTTCTGGAAACTGGGAGTCCTGAACAAGGACGCAGGTGGCTCAGATTCCGTGAGACTGCACCATGAAGGAAGGGAAGGGAAGCCCTGGGGCCTGATTGAAATGTGGCTGGAAGGGCCAGTTTCTAAACTTAACACCTAACAGTTCTAGGAATGGGAGGCTTTGCCTTGTAGAGGGCTGGAGGGGGTGTGTCCATTCCCCCCAGCAGGAGGGCACCCTGCAGATGGCCCCCTGGGAAGCAGACTGAGCCCTTATCAGACCTGCCCAGATCTTGCACGTCCCAGGCCCCAGAACTGTGAGCCAGGAATTTCTGTGTTTCACCCATATAACGTATTTTGTTACAGCAGCTCAAATGGACTAAGATGTCAATTCAGACAACCACTGAATTCTCCATGTGCTCTATTCTCCCGCTACTCGCCGCTTTTTAAAACTGGACCCCTAGACAAACAGCTTTGCCACTGACCCGCTGAAGGAAAGTGGGTGGCTTGGTCGACTTTGGTACCTCATTCTTTGCAAGATGAGGGGAATCAGGTCATTCTTTCCCAGAGAATCCCTCTAGGGGTTAAGTTAACCAGGATTAAATCAGTTAATACATGTGAAGGGCTTAGAACCATGCCAGACACCAACAACACTCCTTAATGCCTGGGCATCTGGGGACGCCACCTCACCATTGAAGAAGGGCCGACTGCGAGGTCCTTTCCTCCCTTCTGCAGTGGCTGCCACTAACCCGGACCAGATTTGCTGGCCATGTGACATTAGCTAGCGCCTGTGCCCGAGCCTCGGTCTCTTCTGTGAATCCTCACAGCCCTGCAGAGACGGTGAACTCTGAGGTCCACGTGGAGGGTGAGGTCGTGATGTTTTGCCTCCTCAGAGCTTAACCTGCCAAATGGCTCCCCTTTCAGTCCGGGAGGCTGGTGGTCTGAGATAGCGCGCGGGCTTGGTGATTCCTCCCAGGTCTGAAGGAGGTGTCTTCTCCAGGCCGTCTCATTGGCTTGTATAAGGCCACCTTCATGTCCGCACAGCACTTTCCTGTGTCTCTTTTCCAGAAAGACACCAGGCCTATCAGAGCAGGGCCCAGAGTGACCTCATCTGACATGGTCACCTATTTAACAGCCTTGTCTCACTTGAGTTGGGGTCACATTTGAGTTGCTGAGGTGGGGCTTCAGCACGTGACTTTGAGGGAACATGGGTCATCCCAGGGCCCTCAGTGAGGGCCTCTGCCTGTGTCACAACTGGAGGTAAAGTGGCCGTGGGTGGAGCCATTTCCACGGCAGAGAGACCTGATGCCCGAGAAAGAGGCGATTCCCTTCATCTTCTTCTGAGCAGAAGACCAATAAGTGCCTGGTTCCACTTGGAGGTTCCACTTTGACTCAGGGAATGCCCTTTGCTGAAAAGTGGTTATTTAAGTCGGTCCCTTGTCCTGTGTATCTGTCAGCTAGAGCTAAATTTTACACATGGAGACTCTTCGTAGAACTTGGAGGAAATTAAGAACATCAGGTTAAACCCAGAGTCCGCATATCCAGGAGGATCGTCCAGTCCAGGAGGATCGGCCAGTGTAGCCCACGTGTCTGGCTGGATGCTCCCCCTTCTGCAGGAGGCTGTCCTTGAGCGCGATCACCCACACCAGCGTGAGCACCGGGAAGACAATGCTGCCAGGGTGCCTCCCCTCCCAGGGCCATGGTGAGGAACACGGAGGGCCCAGGAACCTAGCGGAAACCCGACGGTCCTCAGCACTTCAGTGTGAATCATCAGAAAAGCTGCCGCGCGGGACCAGTCACGAGGAGGCACAGAAAAAGAAATGGTGTAGGAGGCCAGCACAGCCTGGCATCTGGGGACACTGTTTACTGGTAAGCGAGAGGGCGTTGGTGGGACGCTCACGACGCTCCTGATCTCTTTCTGCTCCAGCTGCCCTTCCTCCAGGGTTAGCCGGGGACAGGAGCTCCCAACATAAAATGCAGCAAATAGGAAGGTAACAGGGTTGGGAAAAAAATAGCTCAGGGACAGAGGGATATAATTAAGGACCCTGGGTGGGAGGGCAGAGGAGAGGAGGGCTGGCCTTCCTCCACCTTGAAAGACCTGTGCCCAAGGTAACAAGCTGTTTAGCTAAAGTCAGGCAGACCGAATTGGGATTCTACTCAATCCATTATAGACTGAGGAATCACTTTATGCCCTTGAGCCCAGGTGTGAATGGTGCCCACCCTGCCAAATGACCATACAACAGATGTGGGGACCCCTGACAAGTGCCCAGGATGAATCCAAGGTCCCTTATAGGGCATGAAAGGAAAACAGTCCTAAAGGTGGACACTAACTGGGACACTGGAGCTGGCCCAAGGCCAGAGATCTGCTCATTGTAACTAAAATCTCATAATCCTGAGCAAGGCTTGGTTGCATGGCTGCCTCCCCACTCCCTGTCACCTTGGTAGTTGGTTGGTAGAAATAAATGTCGGTGGTGTGCTACTTTTGGGTGGGTGGACAAAGAGCTTGGTTTCAGGAAGATGGAAAGGGAGGTAATATTATGTATCAAAGAGGGACAAGGGGCTGGAGTGTAGCTCAGCAGAGAGCACTGGCCTGGCATTCGAGGCCCAGGAGTGATCACCAGGGCCACTCACACTCACAAAACAGGACAGACATGCTTAGAAAGTGATCGTATCCACAGGAGCTGGAACACAGTTCTGTAAAGGCGATTTACAAAAGCAGCTATCCTTATTTAGACTGATCAGAAAGGATTATTAGACAAATTCTGAAGTAAGGTCTCAGAGGTTAATGAACTGTTTGGACGTCATCAGCAGACGGGGAGTGGATGGGGCTCCATGGTTTCTTTGAAGACGGTTCCTGTCTGCTGCTGGTTGCCTGAGGGTGACCTATGAGCGTGGTCCTGAGGGTCACAGGATGGGAGGGTTTCTGTGTGGATGCAGAGAGCAGGTGGGTCAGATCTAAACTCTGCCACTTCCTTCTCCTGAGCTGATGGTGGGTGCCGTCTGCAAGGCTGCTGGTGTGGAGAACGCTCCTCCTAGAGACCATGTCCTGAAACGTTTAGGGCAACGCCACTCCTCCTTCTTGGCTTCCCAGATTCTTCTGCATAACCTAACCTTTATTTCTCAATTTTCCTTGTGCAAAATGTATAGTTGACTTGGCTGGTCTCGACAGTGGCCAGAGTTCTTCCTCTTGGAAGAAGGGTGAAGCACCTTGGAGAGGCCCTTCGATCGTCTTAAAATCATCCCATTCAAAATATGGGTGGAGCCAGCACTGTGTATCAAGGACTGAGCTTCACTGGAGGTCCTGAAGATGACTGTGGCCTGCTTCATGCCCCCCCACCCCCGAGGACAGAGAGTATCCCTCCATGGGAAGACAGCATTGGTCACCATGGTACGGGAGGATGTCTGAGAAGGCTCTTGAAGCTGGTAGCCATTTATTTTTGAGTTAGAAAGTGGAGAAGGGGCTGGTTTCAGGAAGATGGAAAGATGGGAGATTCTAGATGGACAGAGCAGGTGGAGCAGAGCCAGGCTGCACCTGGAGGGAGCTCGCTGGCCACGTCATCCCGATTCAGCAGCTCCCCTCAGCTCCCTGTCCACGGCACCACTCCTCCTGCCCAGGCCAGGCTGCAGGAGTGCATCTGCGGATGGGACCATCAGCTGGATCTCCAAATCACAAGTCACAGCACTTTGTACAGTAGATGGAGAAGGGAGAGGGGACAGGTGGCCGTGCAGACTGAGAAATGCGATCAGTCTTCTCCTTAGTTAGCTACCTATTTTTCTTTAAGTGATGCATTAACATTATTTTCCCTTATATTTTTAAATTCTTAGCTGAGACTCTTGTAAGGAGAGAGAGATTAATAAGAAAATTCCAAACAGGAGCTTATTAACACATATATTTATAAACAGGTGGGAGATACCCAGGGGATGTGCCATACTCAGAGGGGGGCACAACTCTGGCTTCTACGGCACCTTCATGAAGGACAGTGTATTGCTGAGGAAGTGAGAAGACCCATAAAAAGCATTTTGAGTCTCTAAGGAAGGCAGACTGTGGCAAGATAAGCACGTTGCAGATAAAGACCAGTCAGCTGAGTTGTTTACACTGATCTCCAGTGCCACGTCTCATCTGATGGGGCTATATCATCTGTCATCCAAATTGACCTTTGTACCTCTGGGAGACAGGAAGGAGGACCATCTTCATAAATTTTTTTTGGCTTGTAGGCAAACAGGGAGGGTAGAGAATTTTTCTTTTATCTATTTCTTCTGGGTTGCTTTTAGCTCAAAATCATTCTTATGCCAAAGTGGTATGTTCTGATACCCTTCAAAATATTCAAATTTAATTTTGCTTTTCTACAGGTTTAATTCAACCAGCCACCAAATACAACACAGCCTCTCGGACCAGGAAATGAGTTGCAGGCAACAGGAGCAGGTCCCTGAAGGGCTGTGCCATGGGGGCGTCTCCATCATCTCCAGTCTGCTCCCACGCAGCCATCACAGAGAATCACTGCCATGGACAGGCTCTGAAGGCCAGCATTGGGCACCTCACTGGCTCCCAGGCCTAGGTCGCTGGATGACCCCCCCCCTTTTATAGGCCAGGGCAGCTTAGCAAGCTTAGGTGCTCTCAATTCAAGTCCTAAAGGCAGAGGCTCTTCTGCCCCAGGGCATCTATTCAATCTGGATGAAAGGAACAAGTCAGAAACCGTCAGACTTGTTTTTCCTGTGGAACTGAAATCTTCCCTGTTCTTCACTGCAAGGAAATGTACATTTTTCTAATGTGCAATTCTCAAACCCAAATGTGAAGTGTTATTATTACCGAGAACCGTGGGTGGTCTCTGCGGGGTTCAAACCAGCGGCACTCATGGCGCACGAGCAGAATCACCGAGGACTCCAGTCAGAAGCAGATAGCCCTTCTTTCCCTCTCATTTGAGCCATAGACTCACACTTGGATAAAGCAGGTCAACAAATCAATAAATGTCATTTTCTCATTTGGCCAAACTCCAAGTTCCAGCTTCCAGGCATTAGGCTCAACCGGATATAAAAACACCAAACAGCCTGATAGGACAATTCCATGTTCCATTGTGAGAAACGACCAGCGTCCCCTTTCCACCCCTTGTCTTATTCATGACTTTCTTTAGAATTGTGTTTTGTTAGAACATTTTAATCTAAGCAAGGAGGCATAAAAGGAGCGTGTCTCTGGTCTTAGCAGCTGGAACTGGAAGGCTGTGTACCCAAGGTCAGCCCAGCTCAGACCCACAGTTCAGCAGAAGGGGAACTGGAGGTGAGCAAGTGGTCAGGCTGCGGTGAGTGGAGAGTCGGGGTAGGGCAGCCAGGGAGACACGGACTTCCAGGGTGCTGTCCCTGAGGGGTAAGGGTAGGGCTGGGAGCCTAGTGTACAAAAGGCAGGGGTTACTCAAGGGCTGCAGAAGAGATGGCAGAGGGAGGACCTGGAGGTCCAGGAGCAGCCCCCCCTGTGGGTGGGAGGGTGGCTGGCAGAGGGAAGCTGGAGCCGGGAGAGAGCGAGGAGTCTGCAGGAAGGTCAGACACCAGCTCCTCTGCCTTGGACACCCAGAGCCAAGCACCTCAAGCAGACAAGGACAAAAATAAAACCTGCAGGCGCACAAGGTCAGCACTGTCTGTGACAAACCAGCAGGTCCAGAGCTGCAGTCCCAAATCAGAGTCAGAAGAACAGAGATGCAGCAGCCCAAGCGAGGAGTCAGGGATGGGAAGAGGGGTGGGAATATGGAGGGGCTGCAGGTGTTCTCCATGCAGTTGAGCGAGAGTCACGTGGCACTGGAGTTTCACTGGGGAGCCACATTCAGGGAGCCCTGACATGTGCCAGGACAGCCCTGTGAGGTGAGCACTGTGCTTGTGTGAGGAGGAAACGTGGGTACATAGGGCCATGTTACCTGCCTGCCCAAGGTGCCAGGGAGGCTGGGAATGAGAGGCAGATGGTCTGACACCAGAGCTCCAAGGTGCTGTGAGCTTGCCTCCCTGGATCCACTCAGGTTTCCCAGCAGGCACATGGAAGGGAAGGTTCTGGATTCTCCACCCCTGTATGGTGGAGGCAGCAGGCAGCCAGTCCAGGCTGAGCTGCGGCATGAGTACGGCACAGGGATGACCAGGGCTGCACACTGGCAATCCTGGCTTCCAGAGGGGCCATGTGGAGCCTGTGTGTCAGGGTCAAGGCCAGCCCAGCCTGAGCATGCTTTGTGTGCCTAGAGGAGTCTTCCCCAGGTGGACGGAGCTCCCTCACCCAGGGAGGGCTAGCATCTGCTCTGAAGAGGGTAGAGAGAGAAGGAGACTTCCTCTCTACCCTGCTCCTCCTCCCTTCTTGGATGGAACCAACTGTAGAGAGCACCTGTGCTCCATGGCTGAGAGGGCTGCAGGGAGCTCGGCACTGTGGCCGGTCTGCCTGCAGCCTGTGGTGGAGTAGGTCCCACTCAATGGCTAGTTGCTGGGGAGGCCACTTGCCTGCACATCTAGGCCACATTCCCCAACATAAAAATCCATCTGCTATTTTGTAGTTTCTGGTTGGTATAACACCTGGTGAGGAATAACAGAACTAGGGTGCTACTGTGTCCCCTCCTCTCCAGGAACTTACATTAAAACTAGCAACAGCAATGGGGACACAGCTGGACCCTGAATGCCTCCCAGCACTGTGGGGACCCAGATGCCCTTTCCTCCTGACAAAGAAAACTGCAGTCCCAAGACCCTTGTCTCTCAGTTTTGTGGTTCTGTGTTTCCTTTGGGAATGCAAGTCACTTCTCCCCAGGGGACACAGGATCACATGCCATAGGGCCCTATCTATCAGAATTCAACCTGGTCCATCAGGCAGATGCACTACAGGGAGTTTCTTACTCCCAAGACAGCAGACATCTAGAGCCTCCTCCAGCACTCAAGAGCCTTCACCCCACCAGCATGGGTAACTTCCTCCAGGGCATCCTACTGCACCGAGAGCCGAGCTCATGCTGACTTCCCTGGACCTGCTGGATGGGCTATAGAGGGCAGGCCTCCAAAGTTAGAGGAAAGAGGAGCAGAGGAAGGAAAGGGAGGAGCTCGTTCCCTACACATTGTCCTGTCATGCCACACATGAGTCAGGACATACAGACGCTAAAACACACACCCGGGTGCACATCTTGATTTGTGTTGGCAAATGTACCCAAGATGCAAAGCAGGAGCTGGGGTGTTGTCATAGCCCTCCACACAAATGTGGCTGCTGGCTCTGACTTCGCTCACCGTGTTCTGCCTCTTGGTGTCGATAAAATGGCCCAGTGTGCTCTTGTGTAAGAATTTGCCCACCAAACGCTGCATTCTTCAGGGTGGCTCATGCTACCATTACTGATTCATAGCAGTTGCATGAGTTGGCAAGAATGACACGGGACACTGGCGGGGGATGGTCCCTCGTGGTTCTCATTCCAGGTGGGAACCACGACTGGGGGAACTCTGTTTACTGCGGTTATCATCTTTGTGCCATCCATGGGCATGCAGGAATTCTGCGCAGGCTCAGAGTGGCCCAGGGGGCTCTGTCTCCTGCCTCGTGGTTCCCTGGGCTGAAGGATTTTGTGACCTGATTTCCGTTTTGTTGCCATATTGACATGTTGGACTCACACTCCCAGTGATGCAATCCTCTCTATTGCGGCATCCCATTCCATAGGGTGGCTAGGCTGTCACTGTGACTGGAATTGACAATGGGGGACACTGGAGTGCTTCCCACTTTGGGTATTGTGAATAAAGATGCCAAAGATATTCACATACAAGATTTTTGCAGGTAGAAATATTCATTTCTCTGGAGGAAGGAGTCAAATAGATTTGTCATAGGCTGTTACCTTTATAAGAAATTATAAAAAGACTTTGGAAAGTGGTTGTGCCTGCAGTCTCTGGTCTAGTTGCTCTATACTTCTGCCAAACTTTGGTTCTGTTGTCATTAGTTTTAGTCCCAGCATCAACTGACAGTCCCACCTCTCTGTTGCGTCAGATTCTCCTACAGAATTTTAAATAGCTTCAAGTTCTTATTTGATAATTCCCAAATCTAAGGCATTTGTTGCCCCTTTGATTATTTTTCTCTTGTCCACAGGACACATTCTGTTTCTGTATTTTGTAATGAGCTTTCGTGCCTAATAATACGGCACCTGGGTTCGACTGGTTTCTTATGGGGAAGCTAAATCACTGGCAGGTCACCTTACTGTCCAGGAGGCTGTAGTGGGCACATCAGCTTTTGTTCTGCCTTCAGCCTAGGTCACATTCCCTCTGTTGGGTACCATCTTCCCCATTAAGGCACGGTTTGGGGGGTTCAATGGCAAACTCAAGGTTATACCAGTGGCTCCAAAACTGTATCTTCCTCTAACAGGCATCAGCTGAAATCCGTTTAAGCCCCCTCAAGTGCTGGGGCTGATGGGGGCCAGGATCACTTTCTTAGAGGAGGACCTCAAACTTTGCCCCAAATTCTGATTTCTCTTTCTGGAGAACTCTATGGCTCCTTAACCATACAGTGGAGTTGACCAGACGCCAGGAGGGAGCTTAGAGCCAGCACCACGGGGCTACTCTGTTCCAGAGTTCAGGTCTCAGTGCCAAGGACAGCCTGGGCAGCAGATTTCACTCCTGCTGAGTGCCTCTTTCACGGGATGACTGGGATGGGGTGCTCACCACAGGGCTCCACACGCTCCTGGATTTGGCCCAGGCCATGTACCCATCCTTCCTGAGAGAATAGGAAGGCTTGCTCTGCATCCTCAGTATCAGGCCTGCAGGGAGAACTCACTTATGCTCTCCGCCTTTTGGCGAGGTGTAAGCTCCTGTACTTTGGCCTCCCTTACCCACCTCCACATCACCTCAAAGACACAGGGGAAAGCGCTCCTCTGACCATCCAGAGTCCAGGGCCTCCAGGGGCAGTGATTCACTCTGCTTTCGCACACTTGGCATCAAGAATGGTGAGAGGCGAGGCCTTTGCCCCTGAGATAGGCAGGGCCTCAGCTGGTATGGCCACCAGTTCTGCAGCCCCAACTCTGACACAAGCCCCCAAGAATGTGTCGGGGAGGGTGAGGCCAGGGCCACCGTGGGTCAGAGGGACAGGGAGGAGGAGACCTGGGCTTGCTCTTAATCTGGCTCAGCTAGAGATGCCTGTGCTGGAACAGCAGGTGGGAAGCCTCATCAGTAAGACTTTGATACTGTAAAAGGGCACTTTCCTCCAGTACTGGGCAGTAGAGGGGAAAGCATAGCCTGGGTGGGGTGCTAGTCCCTACCCCTTCCTCTCTCTAATGGTTATCAACAACCACATTTTAATTTCTTACATAGTTAAATTAGCGTTTCTAAACTGGGGTGGCTGTGCCCGCAGGGGACAACTGGCAGCACCTGGAGACTTAATCCCCACAGAGGGCTGCTACCCACAGGCATCCCATGGACAGGGCAGGGAGGCTGTATAACATCCCATAAGGAGCAGGACCGTCCCAGCAACTACTGGGCTCAAATGCTAATACTGCTGACAGCGAAAGACCCAGAGTTGAATGAGTCAAAACAGCACTGGAATTATTCAGCTTGTTTTATGTTCTTTTTTTTTTTTTCCTAAAGGACATTTTTAAATTGTTCTGTCCCAAATTACTGGCAAAGAAAATCATATATTAGAATAAGACATGTATCTTAAATGACAACAAAAAAAAGCAAAAGGGAAGAGAAGCAAGAAAAACTCTGGAGTGTGCGCCCAGGAGGCTCACGCTGGGCCCGTGGCGTACCTCCCACATCCGGCCTACTCACCTCTTATTTTTGTAGCTGTGTTTACCAGCGCAATCTGTTCTCACAGTCAGACATCCAATCAGCGAAGAGCAGTGAATGGTGACATCTTTGGGCTTCACATAAATAACAGCCAGCTCTGCTTTGGGTGTGTGATCTGTGAAACAGGCCTGGGGGTGCAGCTAGTGGTAGAGCATTTGCCTTGCAAGTGCAATGGCCTGGGTTCCATTCTCTGCACTGCAAATAAGCAGACAGACTACTGCATTGTGATTTAACAAAAA